GGTACCGGGAACTGAACTCACGACCTTGCGCTTGCCAGGCAGGCGCTTTGCCGCTGAGCTAAATCCCCAGTCCCTATCCATCGATTTTATGTGCTTCTCTCATCTCCCCATGGGCAAAAAGTCCATCTCTTGTGCTCTAAGACATATGAGGCAGGCCACAATCGGTGCTGCTACCTGAGGAAGTATGTTTCAAGTTTCCTCTGCACATCCACACAGGCCTCAAGTTGTCAACTCATTTTGGGAAGGTTATGCAGAGGCAGCATGAAGTCTTGCTTGACCTAGATCCCTGCTGTGTGTCACCACAGTATATAAACAACACACAACGTCTGGGGGTAATAGTTCAAATATTATACTTTTTTCCATACATCTCCTTGCTCTCATTTTGTGAAGAAGTTAAAGGGGAGAATTCATGATTAGTTGGTAGCCTGAACCCTGCAACAACCTGTCTTCCTGGGGTAAGAGTGAAATGCATAAGCTCCATCATCTTGGGCTCATTTGTGTGGACTGTCACTAACTTCACCGTATGCTTCCACCATAAAATGTGGTCCATGGTTAACATGCCCAGCTGATGCAAACAAAGCTTTCATAAATGGAGAGGAGGACATGAGTTGAAGAGAGGGGAGGGGAATGGGGGAAAAAAGAAGAAACAAGATATATTTTGCACAGGTGCAAATGATGAATGTGATCATTATGTATATCAAAAATGTACCATAAAAAATAAAACCAGACTGATCTTAAACTGAAGTTCGACCATGTCACTTCCCCACCCAAAACAATCCATTGTTCTTGTATTCTTGAGTAAATAATTAATGTTGCCCCCAAGAATTTGCCTGATCTGACCTTTCCGGCTCTGTTTGCCTTATTTCCTCTTCCAGAACTCTTTGGGCTCCAGCTCCAGTGAGTTATGAGCTCTTTTAGTGAACGTTCCCATTCTTACCAAAAAATATGTTGACTAATGGCCATAACTCAACTGAAACTTAGTGATGTCAAACTATTTTTGAAGACGATCCAAACATTTTTTGCTCCCACTAGTTAAGCTGTATGCTTACCAAGAGACAGGCCAATTATAAACCACCTTATATGTATTCCATGGTATTTTCAGTTACAGAATTTAATCTAATATTTTGTTAATCACTGAAATATGGGTGGGGAAAGAGTTGCTGTTTCTATAGAAACTATAGAACGCTTCATAAAGGTGAGTTGATAAAACCATGTTATTGGGTATATGCAAATCAATTTGTGTGTGCATGTGTGCATGGTGTGGTGTGTGTGTGTGTATGTGTGTGTGTGTTACAGGGGATTGAACCCAGGGCTGCTCCACCACTAAGCTACACCCCCAGCTTTTATAGGTTTTTTTTTTTTTTCTGAGACAGGATCTCACTGGGTGGGACTTGAAGTTGTGATCCTCTTGCTTCATAAAATTGTAAAATTATAATAAAAATCTAGAAGAGATCTGCACTCAGTTTACTTTGTGTTTTTGCATCAGTAGCCAACTTCACAGAAGTGAAAATAGAAATAGTAGACAATCTAAAATTCAAGAAACATAGTGAGATGCCAGGTGTAGTGGTGCACACCTGTAATCCCAGCACTCAAGAGCCTGAGGAGGATCGTTGTGAGTTTGAGACCAGCCTGGGCTACAAAGTGAGCCCAAGGCCAGCCTGAACTGCACAGTGAGACCCTGTCTCAAAAA